TCCTGCTGCTGGGTCACTGTTAGTCACTCGCCACTCCTCCAGGCCCATTTGCTGATAAACCCTCAACACTCTACTCTCTACTCCCTCCAACCGCAGGGGCCAGGTCCACCTTCTGGTTCTCTCCACAACATACACACACACTGAAGTAGAGGCTGCTCTCTGCTCCCCTCCCACGATCTGGGCCAAACTGTGGGGGTTGGCCAGCTCCCCTTTCAGGCAGGATAAGAAGTGGCATCTTAGAGCATGGGGACCTCATCTGAGGCCTCTCCCTATGTCCTCCTGCTGCAAGCTTCCCCACTTTCCAGACCAAAAAGGAGAGGTAGCTTCTCCTCAGCTTGGGAGAGATCAGGGAAAATCAGTTAGGCCCAACAACCCCCTCCCCCAAGCCAAGGAAAGTGAAACAGAAGGGGAAATGGTTCACACACTGCAAGATGGCAGGGCTGCAAGGCCAAGAGACACTTCATTGTCCCGCACAGAGGTGAGAAAGGAAGCCCAAAGAAGGAGAGGGACTTGCCCTAGATCACACAGTGAGAACCTGGATCTCCCATTCCTAGCCTTGGATTTTTTCTGCAAGAGCATACAGAAATTACTCCAAGAGGAAGTCAGGGTCATTAAAGTTGACTTTTGAAGGAGGGTCTGGGCAAGCTGGAAGAGGAAGTGGGGAAAGGGCTGGTCAGAGAGTGTGAGACAGGGCCTAGGCACCCTGAGCAAAGAGGTGAAAGGCTGGAAGGGGGCTTGGGAGGGAGTAGCAGAGGAGTTAGTTAGGGAAGAATGATGGGGCTGGGCCCTGGGGAGCTAGGCAAAGAGGTGTAGAGAAGGGCCCGGCGTGACCTTGGGTAAGTCACGTCCTTCTCATCCTTCTCCTGGCCCCAGTCTTCTGTCTGCAGGCCTGAGTGCGACAGAGATCTCGGCCACTCTGGCTAGAAGGTCCCATCCTGGAGAGTGAGGGTGCCTCACCTTCCTGAAGTCGGCAATGAAGGAGACGAGGGTGCCGTCGGGCTTGCGCAGCTCGAGAATGATGCTGTCGTTGTCGCTGTCCGCCTGCAGGCTCTCCTCTGTCACCTGGCCTTCGGGCAACCGCACGCGCACCCGCAGCTCTGCCCGCTGGCCCGCCCCCGCGCCCACGCCGCGCGGCGTCCCCAATAGCCACACAAGTAGCGGCAGCAACAGCAGCGCGCGGGACGCCTTGGGGACTCCGCGGGAGCCGGGTGGGCACATCCCCGTGGGCCACCGCCGCCCTCCTCAGCTCCGGCACTCGGCGTGCAGGCGGCGAGAGGCGTTGCCAAACTTCGCTCGAAGTTGATGGCTAGTTGAAGGCGCCCGGGAGTGGCTCCCCGAGGGTCTCAGACGCGGGTCACCAGTGGGATGGCGTACACTCACATGGGGTGTGCTCCGCGGCGTAACCCAGGCGGCTGCGGGGTGGACGCGGCGCTCTCGCGGCTCTCGAGGCCCCCGACCCAGCACTTAGAGACTCTGTTTTGCACTTTTCATTCAATCCCACCCCCCCGTCACTTCCTTCAGAAAACAGAAAGCACCGGGACCTGCCTTAAAGAGACCGCGCACCTCTCGGCCCTTAAAGGGTCCGCAGCGGCTCTCCACACTCCTTCGGCGGCCAGGGGACCAGGGCGGGGAGAGGGGACCGCTGCGCAGCGGCTTTGTGGGAAAAGCGCTTTCTCAATCTCCTTCCTTCCCTGCTGCGTCCCGTCTGCTTCCCCCGGCTTTGTCCCGGGTTGGCTCTCCCGGCAAATCTCTTCCTCCCAGCAGGGGCGGGACGGGTCACATTTACCCCGCCCCCTTTTTTTTGGCTTGTTCTTGTGCCACGTGGATGAAATAATCGGGCTTGGTGTTTTAGGGGTTTTGTTTGATCTTTCAGTTCCTCTGACAACCTGGATTTCTGCAAAATCATATCTCGCCTAGCACTCAGCCTTTTGACTGCCCTAGTCTGGAGAGGGGAGCTGAGGCTGTTGCCTGCTTTGACATCACTCAGGTGTGAGATCTTGGTAAGTCAGGACACCTCTCTGGATGCAGCTCTCGAAGCGCCCAATTTTGTGAGCTCCTACGCGGCTTTCCTTTTCAGTCCAGCCTCCCTCTCTTCCCCCATTCACCGCCTTTCTTCAGTCCTATCTACCTCTCCAGACCATTCTGTCTCCCTATTCTCAGTAATAGGCTGAGCAAATCCAGGGAAATGTTAGATTCTAGTCCATTCTGGAGACTGTCCAGGAACTCGGGACACTGGCACTTGACCATCAGGGGCTCTCCACAAGGCCCAAGAAAATAGGACTGCCCAGCCATGCACCCCAACGATGAACCGGGTGAAAGCAGAGGGGTCTGGATTCCTGCTTCTTCTGATTAACTGTGTGCTTTGGGCATATTTTAAAAATTCTTTGGGCCTAAGTGTCTCCCTGTGTAGTGGGAGTTGCTGAGACCTACAGTGTCTTGCCAGTCCCATGCAGGAGAATGCCCCAGGGGATGCTTGGAACCTGTTGTGTTCTGATGTCCATTTATCATTTCCATTTATTCTAGGCCTCCCCTACTTTTTTTCTGAAATCTTGATGGCAGATAGGTGAATGCCCTGTTCTGCAGCCTCCTTCTCTTCTAGATCTTCCTCAGCACAGGGTTCTCATCACCAGCAAAGAAGACAACAGATACCCAGGCATGCAGGTTCTGTGACAGGATCAATAACAGAGACAGACTCCCTTGAACTGCAGGATCAGAGTCAAGCCAAAATCTGTCTCCTTACTACCAATCCAGGGCTCTTTCTACTACACTTTGCTGCCTAAATTTAAGACTAAAAGGGATTTGAGGGATTATCTAATCCAGTGTTTTCTGAATTTGCCTCACCAAAAGAATCACCTGGGTACTTGTTAAAAACATATACTTCATCCCCAAATCTAGCCAATCAGACTCCCTAGGGAAAAAACCTGAAAATTTGCATTTTAAAACAAATGCCCTGGTGATGCTTGATATAAAGGGTTGATAGTTGGTACTTGACAGAGAGTTAAACACAGAGGATCTAAAACAAACAGCATCATTCCTGGAGAACCATCCTGGCCCCTAAGGAGTTTATCTTCTTCATATCAGAGGGATAAGGCAGGCTATCAGAGATTAATGAATTAGCACAAAACAGGCTTTGCTCCCAGAGGGCCTCCTACCCTGTGCTAGCAGGACTGAAGAAGAAAGGTGCCCAGGGTCTCAAAACTGTCCCCTTGACTGACAGGATACTCATGTCAATTCAGCCTTAAAGCTAGGTCTTCCCCTGTGAGTCAACCCACATAGTCATAGGGCCTCACCCACATTTCATAACTTCCCTGTTTCAGGTTCTGTCCCCCATCCATCATCAGCTCTGCCCCCAGCCATAGTCTCAGGTCCCTTCCCAGAAGAAGAAAGCAAAAAACCCTCTG